TTCAAGGGGGGGGGGGAGTTAGGGGCGTAGGGGTTGAGGGGGTTTAGGGTTTAGGGTTTAGGGGGTTTAGGCTTCAGGACTCTCGGATTTCCACATCCCGGTGCTGGTGAGGCGCATTGGCGGGACGATTGGGCCCAAGGCGGCTGAAGCAGCCGATCACGTTGCTGGCAAACGGGTCCTGCGTCCGAAGCCCTTTAAAGCACCTCTAAACCCTACGAACCCTGTGAAACCCTGAAAACCCTCTGCAAACCCTATAACACCCTATAAACCCTATAAAACCCCTCTAAACCCTATCACCCTCTGAACCCTACAAAACCCTGAAAACCCCACAAACCCTGTAAACTGGGGTGTTGCCCCTTATACTGACAGTCCTTTATTCGGGTTCTAAAAGGGGAAAAACCCTACTAAGGACCGAACATCCCAACCTGTAAACCCTATGAAGCCCTGTAAACCCGATACAGCCCCTAGAAGCTCTAGAAAACCCTGAGCCCTAAGCCTCCATAGGCCCCAATTTCCGGCGAGCCCTAAATCAACCCTCAACCCTCAACGCTCAACCCTCAAGGCCCTCAAGGCCCTCAAGGCCCTCAAGGCCCTCACCCTCAACCCTAAACCCTAAACCCCAAACCCTAAGGGTTCCTAACCCCTGAGTGTCCTCAGGGTCCATGCAAGGCAAGGCCTTTGCATGAGAGGCTCTCGAACTGAGGATCCAGCAGGATATGGGCCCATGGGCTATGAAGGGTTCCAACCCTGAACTCTAACCCTAAACTAAACCCTTAACCCTAAACCGCAAACCCCAAACCCCAAACCCCAAACCCTAAACCCCGATCTGGAACCCTCGGGGTGCCTGCGAGTCACGGAAGATCTCTGCTGCCAACTCTGCCGTTGGTTCCGTGTTGCTCGGATAGAGGCTCCTTGGGCGGGCGAGGGGAGCTTGGGGGGGGGGGAGGGCTTAGGGGGGCAAGCTCTTTAACGTTTAGGGCCGGGCGGTTTAGGGTTTAGTGTTGAGGGATATTAAGGGCTTAACCTTGACAGGACTTAGTTTAAGGTTGTGGCTGAGGGCTTGGGGTCATAGGGAGGGCATCAAGTTGAGGATCGGAAGGGCGTGCGGTTGTAAACTTCAGAGGGTGATTCCCAATGTAGACCCTTTTAGAACAGACTAGATTCATGGTTAGCATAACTACTTCTTCCTGAACTCCCTCAGCTCTAAGGTCACAAGGCCTGAGCCTTAATTGGGAGGAACATAGGAACGCTTCGAGAGGAGATGGAGGGATAATATATATATATATGTATATGAATATATATATATATATATTTATATTTATATATATATATATATATGCTATACATATATACATATATATATGATTATGATTCTTTATATAGTCATTGTATCTATACAGCGCATGTTGGAGGGACACGAGGACCGAACAAACGGGTAATTTGGAGAGGCCCAGCGTGCATGGTGCAGGTTCGTCGTGGGTCGAGAAGGCTTCAAGGTTCAAAGGTTGGAAGGGGAGGTTTCAAGCTTTCAAGTTGCTAACAGTCCTTCATTGGGATCACGGTTTAGGGTTTAGGGGTACTATAATCCCTATTAAGGACTGGTACTATAAAGGGTAACATCCCAAGTTTCAAGCTTCAAGATGCTGAGACGGTTTTGAAAAAAAGTTCAACAACAAGAGCTGGGCGGATTTAAAGTTTGAAGGCTTAAGGTTTAGGTTTTCGTCCTTTCACAGGTTTAGGGTTTAGGGTTTGGGGTTTCAGGGTTTAACATTTAGGGTGCAGGGTTTAGGGCTTCGGCCCGGACCCAGACCCCAAGAACCCCTAAGCCCTCACGGCGCCAAGCCCTCAACCCCCCGAACTTGCGTCCGGCTGCTTGAGTATGCCGCCGATGTTCGGCTGCCTCAGAAGTATAGGGTCTAGAGGGTTTAGGGTTTAGGGTTTAGGGTTTAGGGCTGAGGGTGTTCATGGGTGGGTAGGTATCCAGGGAACCTTAGGGAAGCTTAGGGAACCTTAGGGAGTCGGAGGGGGTATTCGGGAACCTTGGGTTACATACATCCCCTTGAACCCCTTTCCCTTAAGAACCAGAGAATCAGAACTATCTGATCCTAATAACCCTAAACGCCCGAAACTCTCAAACCCCTAAACCTTCAGGAAGAACAAACCTTAACAACCCTACACCCTCAGCCATAGTCCTGAGCCCTAAGCCCTCAACTCTAATTTCGGTCTTGAGCTTTGGGATGAAATTCGGTCGTAAGATCTGCAACACCACTCCCACCCAAGGCCCCCCCCGAGGTGTGTTTAGGGTTTAGGGTTGAAGGGTCAGGTTTAGGGTTTTGGGCTTAGGAATCAAGGTGTAGAGGGCTTTTCTGGTTGCCGGGGGTCCTAAACCAAAAGCACGGGTCCTCGGCTCAGGTTGATGAACCCTCGCCGTGTTACATACATATACATAGGTCCATTGGGGGGGGGCGACCATATATATATATATATATCTGTATACATACAGACACATGTACTGCAAAATGTGCCGAACGCGCTTCGACCTCGAAGACGGTCTCAGCTCGTCTGCGATGAAATCTCATATGGACTTGCTACGGGCACAAATGCCGCACCTGCTTGCTGTCAGCAATTCGGAACGGAATTTGTCCCAGCCCCAGCGGCTTCGCCGCAACCTCTGACTTGGGTTTGGGCCCTAAACCCTGAACCCTAAAGCCTCAAGTCCACGGGAAGGAACAAAGCCCGAAACCTTGAGCCCTTCTCAAATACATTTAGCCCTGGATCTCGCGGGATTTCGGCTTCCTTACACCTTCAGCTCTGGATAGGGTGGTTTAGGGTTTCCCTATTCCGGGTGGGCAAGGCTTGGTAAGTCGGCTTCGACTCCGACCCCCTCAGTCGATGGACGGAAAGCTCCTGGCCTGAACAAATGGGGCGCCAACCCTCGAAAGCCTGAACCCTAAACAACAACCACCCTGAACCCTAAACCCTCAACCCTAAACCCTAAACCCTAAAACCCTAAACCCGCAACCCCAGGAACCCCAATGCGGCGGAGGTGCAAGCCCCGCAGGAGCACCCAAGCCCCAAAGTCGACCAACCACCTGAGCACATTTGTGGTAGTTCCCTGAATTAGGATCAATTTTGGAGGGTTTAGCGTTTAGGGTTTGGGGGTTTGGGGTTTGGGGTTTGGGGTTTGGGGTTTGGGGTTTAGGGTGCAGGGTCCTCTGTACAATACGGCACCTTCATAACAAGGACCCCCACAGGGACCCTAACTTAGAGAAGCCGCCGTTGAGGGGTTTATCGAAGATGGCTCGAGGTTTAGGAATGATGGGATTGAAGATGGTGTAAGGTTTAGCTTGCACAGGGCTTCAGACGCCCTAACCCTAAACCCGAAACCCTAAACCCTAAACCCGGTTCAGATCTTCAGGTTCTGCACGGCTCTCAGGGATAGGGCTAGGGCCTCATTTCGAAGTTTTGGACCTTTGGCCGGTCAACTGCCAGGGGTGATCCGAGGGCATATTGTGACAGAAGCTATTCAGGTTTAGGGTTTAGGGTTTAGGGTTTAGGGTTTAGGGTTTGGGGTTTAGGGTTTAGGGTTTAGGGTTTAGGGTTTAGGGTTAGGGTCTTAGGTTCCTCTGTCACCCTAACCTGCCAACAGGCACAAAGGCTCAGAGTCTGCCGCCCCAGCCACTGTGGTGGCGGGGCGTAGTCGGGAAGGTTCGCATCACTTCCATAGCCTCCCGACAAAAATGAGGGTTTAGGCAGGGATCATCTGGGCTGAGTGCTTCTAGTGTCCAGAGCTGCGATATAGGGTTTAGGGTTAGGGGTTTGGGGTTTAGGGGTTCAAGTCTAGCACTCGGATCGGAGGGTTTTCGGGCTTGCTGCTCTCTTGCGGACGCGAAGCTCCTCGCCGGCATTACGCAAACACATCATCCAAGATTGCATTCGGCAGATAAACGAAGCGCAGCCGGTCAGCCCGCTCCATGGCTGTGTTGAAACTAAAGTACCGAAATCAGAACAGGTACAACCACGACGGACACCGACAGCAGTGTCACAACAAACCATGCCAAAGGAGGTCAGTTGACCAAAACAAATGACGGGAAGCAGCAACAAGTTAAAACCAAAAGAGAGTTGCACATGCAAACAAACATCAGCAAGCCCCTATCCAAAGCAATAAGCTACGGTTCGACTGGTGATATTGGGGGGTCTAGCTGATGCTATAAGCCCCAACTAAGTTCTCCAAGCCTGAACTAATGTTGGAGGGCTTTGGAGGACCCAACTAGGCTTTAAAAGGCCCTAACTAGCTCTTCGGAAGCCCCCCCCCAATAAAACCCTAAACCCTAACCCTAAACCCTAAACCCTAACCCTAAACCCTCAGGGGCCCAAGGGTAGAGTTTAAACGGGTAAGATCAATCCTGCTGTGTTCACGGGAGTCTTCGTCTTTTTTTATGTCGCACACATCGCCCGGACACTTGTTCCGTAAGCGAACCAAGCACCTTGAAAAGATTTCAAGGCGCTGAACATGCCACAGGCAAATCCGACAGTGGATTCACGAAAAGAGGCTGGCACTGGCTCAGTGTGGTGAAAGTGAAGCAAACTTGACAGCGTTCTTTGAACCAAAAAGCTTGGGTTTTTTAATTTTGTGTTTAAGCCTTTAAAAGTTTGGGCTTTCCAATTTCCGGGGTCTCGATTCTAGATCCACGTTGCCTTCGCGCATGCGCTCCAGCACAGTGCCGCCACTGCTGCGCAGCAGTGTCTGGTAGTCCTGGCTTGAAGCTTCCTAAGCCCCAAACTCTGGATTGCCCTTTAAAGCCATTCAAAATATGTATAGGGTGCATTTAAAAGAAGTGTGCACGCTGCCCTTCTGCTGACTGCTCGAGGGGAACGGATTGCAGAGGGTGCGGCATTAAAAGCGAAAGCTCCAACCTTTGACAAACGATCAACAGGCCCTGACCCTGTCGAGACCTAAGGGACGTCCTACTTCGTACACCCCTTCAGCTCTCCATCCCAACCCTACTCCCAAGTCCCCCATAAAACCCTGAACCCTCTTCGGGTAGTTACAATGGCCCTTCCTATGGGCCCTTCATGCAGAAGCCTGATATACACCTCTTTTGGACCCCATACAACCCGCGGGCGAATGCTTCAGAGGGTACGCTTATCCTGTATGAACCTCGAGGTCTGAATGGATTTCCAAAATGCCCATGACACTCAACCCTAAACCCTAAACTTTACTAAACCCTTAACCCTAAACCCTAAACCCTTAACCCTTAACCCTAAACCCTAAACCGGGCGCCTCCATCGAAAGCAAGGGGCCTGCCGAGTTGAGAAGGATGAGCCCGCGGCACACACTCGGACCTTAGAGTTTAGGGTTTAGGGCCACTACCTCCACTGGGTTCCCCCCTTCACATAGCCTTGATTGGCCCCTAACTATCCTTAAATAGCCTTAATTATGGGGGGGGGGGGACCTAGGGGGGGGGTAGGCCTCATCTTATCCCTAAATAGCCGTAATTTAGGGGGGAACCTAGGGGTGGGGTAGTAAAGAGGGGGGGTCGTAAGGGAAACCCATGAGAGGTGAGGGAAGGCGTTGTCTTGGGTCTCAGGCTTTGGGGGGGGGGGGGTTGGACTTTGCAGGGGGTTTAGGGTTTTGGGGGGCTTAGGGTTTAGGGCTTTTTTGGTGGTTTAGGTTTTAGGGCTGAGGGTTTTGGGTGTAGTTTTGGGGGGTCAAGGGTTTAGGGTTAGTTGGTTCGTATTTAAATGGAGCACGGGGTTACGACAGGGGTGGGCGAACCTACTACTGTTCTGTTGCAAGTGAGATTCCTCTGGTTAATTTAGAGTTCGGGCTTTGGGTGTGTTGTTGGTTGAGGGTTAGGGTTTAGGGCTTAAGGTCCTTAGCGAGCAAAACAACCTTCGCCGGGAGGAAGCCTCGGGGTTCTAGGGCGATTGGGGTTCAATAAAACCCTAAACCCTAAACCCTAAACCCTAAACCCTAAATGTTTCGTTGATGAAGTCAGCCCTTGCCTTTCAGTAGAGAGACACAGGATTCAGAGCTTTCAGCGAAACCGGAGCCTTCAAGGTTTAGGGTAGGGTTTAGGGTTAATAGAAATTTATAGGGTTTGGGTCCCAATAACGTTTTTTGAGCGAAAGTTTTGAGCGAAAGTTTTGAGCGAAAGTTTGAGCGAAGTTTTGTGCGAAACGTTTTGTTTTCTGATATTAGGTTTTAGGGTCGGCGTGGGGGGGGGGGGGGGGGGGTTGGACGGCAGATGATACGACGGGACGGGAGAACGGTTTTGGGGGATGTTTTAGCAATTTCTGGTAATGGGACATCTAATTTGAAAACCAAAATTTATTATTATGGATAGAATTCTTTTGATTCTGAATCATTTCAAAATATTTTGAGGATTTCCATGGGATATTTAATTTGAATATCAAAAAAGATATTATGGATAGAATTCTGAAAATTATAGAGAATTCCAAAAGAAATATTCGTGAATTTAAGGTTTTACAAGGATTCAATGAATCTTTGGATTCCTCAGAATGTAATTGGAAATTTTCATATTATTTTGAGGTTTTCAATGGGATATTTACTTTGAAACTCAGAAAAAACTATGATGGATAGAATTCTGAAAGTTATAGAGAATTCCAATTGGGATTTTCACGAATTTAAGATTTTGTAAACATTCAATGAATCTTTGAATATCTCAGATTATATTTGGATATCTTCAATTTGGAGCCAATTTTGGCCTTTAATTTTCGGCGGCTCCGGAAGCCAATTTTGGTTTTTTGGTTTTTGGGTTTTGGCGGCTCTGAGAGCCCGGAAGCCAATTTTGGGGGGCCAATTTTGGGCTTGAACCCATTTCAGCCTTCAAGGAGCAAATTTTGGGCTTTTTTGGCCAATGTTGGGCTAAATTTGGGCTTTGGAGCCAATTTTGGGGTGTGAGCCAATTTTGGGGTCTAGGAGCCAATTTTGGGCTCCGGAAGCCAATTTTGGGTTTGGGGAGCCAATTTGTGGGTTTGGGGGCTGATTTTGGGCTTCTGGGAGCCAATTTTGGGCTTGCAGAGCCAATTTGGGTTTTTTTGTGTTTTGGGGTGCCAATTTTGGGCTTTGGAGCAAATTTTGGGCCCTGAAAGCGAATTTTAAGTTCCAGGAAGCCAATTTTGGGCTTGGGGAGGCAATTTTGGGCTTTGGGAGGGGGCTTCGGGAAGCGATTTGGGCTTTGGTTTGCCAGGACGCGGGAAGGCCCCAGAGGTTTAAGTAAATTGAGCATTTAGCCTCCCGCTCTGGATTAGTTTACTTAAACTCTTTTTATCAGCTGTTTAGACATATATATTGGAAAATTCAGACTGATACCACATACAATTTCTATTTATTTTGTCTTGAGGGTTTAGGGTTTAGGGTTTAGGGTTTAGGGTTTAGGGTTTAGGGTTTAGGGTTTAGGGTTTTCAACCCCTAGAACTGATCATGGCTTGACCGCTCTTCTTTATAACCACTTCCTAAGCCCCACGATCCGCCCAGAAAGTCCTAAATCCTACAAATAGGGGCCGCCCTACTAGACTAACTTTAAAGAAGGGACTGATAACCTGAATAGTAGGACTTATAACCCACTTAAGGGCCCTTAGAACTTAGAACCCTGTTTATAACAAGGGGGCCCCTACATGTAGTTACCCAAAGTAATCGGAGGGGGGAGGGGATCATAGCCTTAGGCCGCCCTAAGCCCCATAAAAACCCTTCAGCCAAAAGGCCCAAGAATGCGGCCGCGGACTGGGCCATGTAACCTCAGAGTTTCCGGGCGTAGGGCTGGCGGGTTTCGGGTTAGGGTTTTCGTTTCTTTTTTGTTTTCCAGGTTTTGGAGTTTAAGGGCTTCTAGGGTTTCAAGGGATTAGGGCTGAACCTTCAGGGATTTTTGGGGGTGGCTGATAAGGTTAGAGGGGTTCAAGACTTGAGGTTTTAGGGTCTCTGAGTTTAGGGGTTCTGATTTACTTTGTAGGGGGCTCAACCACAAATCAGGCCCTGGCCCAACGAAGCCCCTCACAATGCCCCTCCCACCTCCAATGGAATTGCCCATGAGGACCGCTGGCGCTGCCACAACAGAGAGAAGGAAGTCCTTCACGCACTGCTCCCAGACCTGAATGCTAGGTATGGGGTTTAGGGTTTAGGGTTTAGGGTTTAGGGTTTAGGGTTTAGGGTTTAGGGTTTAGGGTTTAGGGTTTAGGGTTTAGGGTTTAGGGTTTAGGGTTTAGGGTTTAGGGTTTAGGGTTTAGGGTTTAGGGTTTAGGGTTTAGGGTTTAGGGTTTAGGGTTTAGGGTTTAGGGTTTAGGGGTTTAGGGTTTACACAATATCCGGCCTAATGTTGACCGTCTTTCGCAGGGGCATGTCACGATGGATTCGAAGCCTAAACCCTAAATGCCGAAGCCTTAAGCACTGAACAGCAGGCGCGAAGCCCTGCTTCTTATGAGGAGTTGAAGCGCCTCGATGCTCCTTTACCCAGGGCCGGTATGTCGTGGGGCTTTTGCCACGATTTCAGACCCTAAACCCTAAACCCTAAACCCCAAACCCTATACCCTAAACCCCAAGCCCCAAACCCTAAACCCTAACCCCTAAACCTACGCAGACCACGCAGGGACTACGCTGGCCTGAGGGTTGTCAAGGCTTCTCTAGGCTTTTGGGTTGGTTTTGCTCTTGGCTCTAGGGGTGCCTTCCAGCCGCCCAGCCTTTTGCAGCCCCTTTAGTGTTTAGGGCTTTAGGGCTTAGGGTTTAGGGGTTTAGGGGGTTTAGGGGTTTAGGGTTTAGGGTTTAGGGTTTGTGGAGGAAATTCAACACGTCCCTTGGCGTATCAGAGTTACTCTTGCTCGCTCGCGCTCGTCCTTGCAGAGCCCTCGGATTCAAATTTGGAAGCTTGATCTAAAACCCTGAAGCTTCGAAGCCCGCAAGTCTCACCCGGTCTCCAAACCGAATCCGGCAATCCCAGCCCTAAACCTACACTCCCCTTAGAACCTGAATAAAAACAATACTTTTAATCTCCTCTTCGGTTTTATAGAAACAGAAATACAAAATAATTGAATAATTCCCAAGGGGGATATAGAAACCCTGGAACCCAGAAGAGCCTTGGGGCTTGTGACCCTAAACCCTAAACCCTAAACCTAAACCCTAAACCCTAAACCCTAAACCCTAAACCCTAAACCCTAAACCCTAAACCCTAAACCCGGGTTCAGGGCCTCCAGGAGTCCTTTGGGGGACCAAGTGAATCCTAAAATTGGGATCGTATACCCCATACGACTATCAGCTCGACTAGGGCTTATGAACCCTACACTCTAAACCCTAATCCTAAACCCTAAACCCTGATCCGAAACCCGAAATCCTAAGCCCTAAACCCTTTTAGCGTTCACTTGGTCCCCCCCCCCAGGGTGGACTAATCCAAGGCACATACTGCGTGATGGACAGCGGAGGCTTCTCGGCGTGTCCAAAGCCTGCTCTAGACTCTTTTGGGCTTTAGGGTTTAGGCCTAGGGGCCCTAAGCCCTAAACTCTAAACCCTTGATTTTTGGGGTTTTGGGGTTTGTGGTTTGGGGTGTGGGGTTTAGGGTCAGAGACCCTGGCCCTAGACTCTAAACCCTGAACATCCTGAACCTTTGACTAAGGGGAGCTGCCCATGGCAGCATGCATGCAGGCTTACCAGCAGGGTTTAGGGTTTAGCGTTTAGGGAGCTTCTCAGCAAGATGTTTCTGGTGACGCTAGTGAGTATGTAGCAAGTCGGCACTTTTACTTACTTGCCCTGCATCTGCAAATGGGGCTCGGGCTGCTTGGGGTCCCCAACTTGGATCATCCAACCCCCTTCTTAGACCAGGACTCCACTTTAGTACGGCACCCAAATGACCAAAGGACCCTAAACCCTATAAGCCCAAACCCCAAACCCCTAAGCCCTAAGCCCTAAACCCTAAACCCTAAAACCTAAACCCTAAACCCTAAACCCTAGCCCGACCTATCATGTCCAGCGCGTAGAGTGGAATCGGGCGCTCCGTGTCGCCTTCGGCGAGAGCCGCTGCCAGCGGTGCAAACCTGAACTGAAGCAGCTGGCTCCAACTTACAGTAGAAGTTTGTGGCCCTGAGCCCTAAACCCTAAACCCTAACTTCTCAAAGTTCTTGGTAGATTAGTTGGGTCAGGAGCCTCGAAAACTTTGGGGTTCATAGGGGGTTTTCGAGAACCCTAAACCCTAATCCCTAAACCCTAAACCCTAAACCCCAAACCCCAAACCCCAAACCCTAAACCCTAAGCCAAGGTGCTGTGTGCACGAGGCCGCGAAGCCGTGGATGGCGAGTACCGGGGGTGCGGAGTCGGCAGCTGGCAAGCAGCTGGGGGCCTGAAGCGTAGGGTTTAGGGTTTAGGGTTTAGGGTTTAGGGTTTAGGGTTTAGGGTTTAGGGTTTAGGGTTTAGGGTTTAGGGTTTAGGGTTTAGGGTTTAACCCTTAGGGTTTAGGGGTTAGGGTTTAGGGTTTTGTGTTTAGGGTTGAAGGCTTAGAGTTTCGGGTGCAAGGAATTTAGGGTTTAGGTCTTTATAGAGACTTGGGGCTTGAGAGTTGATAAACATTTTGCAAGGGACCGGGACGGGGGGGTGGTCAGTTTCCCCCCATATTTCATGCAGGTGCACCCACACCCTTGTTCTTAGTTGAAGTATTCGCGCCTGAACTCCTCCTTCCTAGAATCCCTTCCCCCTAGTATTAAACGGCCCCCCCCCCCCACCCAATAGAAACTTGAAATGTGTTTTTATGATGAGGCGGAGGTTTTTATCCAAATGTCATGTTTGGGGTAAAAAGGGTTTAGGGTCTAGGCTGGGAAGGGAGGCAAGGGAGCTTCAGGATGTTGGTTGGCTTGCGGGTTTTGGGAGCCCTGAACCCACCCCCTAATTCGGAATGGGGTTTAAAGGCGGGGTCGGTTTCGGCAGGATTTTCCGGAAAGTGTTTTTACAATTAGGGTGGCGTTTTATAAAAGGGGGAAGAAATGCCTCCCCTTAGAACCTTAATAACAATAATACTATTAATATCCTCTTCGGTTTTATATGAACAAAAAGATTCCCAAGGGGATGTAGCTTCAGTTCCCTTTCCCAGAACCGATAAGGCAACCTTCCCGCTGGATCCCTTGAAGAGCACTGAGGTCTGCGCAATGTACCTGCACAGGTAGCCGCGCCAGCGGAAGAATCTGACCTTTGCAGATCTCTCAAAAGGACCCTAAACCCTAAACCCTAAACCCTAAACCCTTACGAGCGCAGTACGGAGACTCGCTTCGATCCCACGCGACGGTCGCCATTTGCCATCCTGGTCTTACGACTGAAATGGAGGGGGGGGGGAGGGGGCGGGGGTATTCCAAAAAATGAGGTAAAATCACCACAATCACCAAATTTCCCTTTAACAAGCTCGCTTCCAAAAATCTGGGTTTAGCGTTTAGTAAGGATTCGGGTTTGCCCTTTAATAAAAAATAGCTCAATCTCCCCCAGAATTGCCCCACTGGATACATCGGACCCTGAGGCTTCGGACACCCCAGTTTCAACCCGAAAGCCCCTGCACCTAAAAACCCTGAACCCTCAACAACCCTAAACGAACCTCAAACCCCCCAAAACCGCATAGAGCTATCCTAAACCCTAACCCTAAACCCTAAACCCTAAACCCTAAACCCTAAACCCTAAACCCTAAACCCTAAACCCTAAACCCTAAGTTAGGTTTAAGGGTTAAACCCTAAACCCTAAGGCAAAAACGGTGTTTAAGCCTCGGGCATCGCTATGCTCGAAGAGCCTCGGCTGCGCTGCGGTTGTCCACTCTCTGTTCCGCAGGAGCATGAGGCTAGGGTTTAGGGTTTAGGGTTTAGGGTTTAGGGTTTAGGGCTTAGGGTTTAGGGTTTAGGGTTTAGGGTTTAGGGTTTAGGGTTTAGGGTTTAGGGTTTAGAGCTTAGGGTTTAGGGTTTAGGGTTTAGGGTTTATATCACTTCTGGCGTTGGAGCGTTCAGGAAGGAGCCTGCCAAACCGTATCTTCCCAGCTCCGCGCGCAGCCGCGGCTCTCGGGGCTTGACGTTCCGTGGGTGGGTCCTTGTTCGTACACGAAAATTGGGATGTTCTGCCTAAGACTAACAGTCCTCAATAGGGAGTATAGTACCCCCCCCCTAGTATAATCCCCATTAGGGACTGCTAGTATAAGGGGCAACATCTCAACATGAAACCCCAAACCCTATACCCCAATGAACTTTGAATACAGGCAAAAGGTACCTACTTACAACTGTGTTTGTTGGGGGGGGGGGGAACCCTAAACCCTAAAGCCTCAACCAAAACCGGGGGGGGGGGGGGGGCCTATGGCGACTTAGAACAAAGGCAGGCGAGCAGCTTGCCGTCCGAGAGATCGGCCAGTGCCTGGGAAGCTTATCCAACGCCCCCAAAACCGTCAGAATTCAGGGTCTTATAGGGCTTTTAGGCTTTAAGGTGTTTATGGTTTAGGGTTGTTAGGGTCTTTTAGATTCTTTTCGGGTTTTTTGAGGTTTATAGAGCTTACAGGGATTGCAGGGTTTAGAGGGCTTTTAGAGTTTATAGGATTTGTAGGTTTTATAGAGCTCATAGGCTATAGGGTTTATAGGGTTATGGGTTTAAAGGGTTTTTGGGGTTTATGGTGGTTTGTAGGGTTTGTAGGGTTAACAGGGTTAATAGGGTTTAGGGGCTTTCTAGGGTTTATGGAGTCTACACCCTAGACCCTAAACCCTAAACCCTAGAACCTAGAACCCTAAACCCTAAACCCTAAACCCTAAACCCTAAACCCTAAACCCTAAACCCTAAACCCCAAACCGGCCCCAAAACCTAAACCCTAAACCCTAAACCCTAAACCCTAAACCCTAAACCCTAAACCCTAAACCCTAAACCCTAAACCCTAAACCCTACCACTGGGCTACCAAGTCTTTGCCACTGGTGCGCCAGAAGCCGGTGCCACTCGTTGGCTTCCAGGGCCTGACGTGCAAAGTTCGGAGACGCCCCCGGGTCTTTCGACTGGGATTGGGGTTTGGGGTTTCGGGTTTAGGGTTTTAGGGTCTGAGGGTTTCAGGGTTTAAGGTTTTCGAGTTTAGGGCTTAGGAGCCTAATGCCCTCGAGCCCCCCCAAGGGCTTAGGATGTGGGGCTCAGGGTTTAAAAGACCCTTATCGTCGATGTGAACGAGGTCACTACCGGCCAAGCACGAGCGCTGCAATGCCTCCCAAAAATTGTCGCTCTTGTTGTCCTCGGGCTGAGAATACGCTGGGATGGAGCGATGGAAAGACACCTCTTTGCAGCAGGACGTCAAGTACTTGCAAGCAGCTGTAATGAGGTCAACGGTAGAGCACTTAGAGCACACGACAAACAAGTATTCGCGGTTCTCCTTCAGCCAGCGAAGTGTTCGCAGGAACGAGTCCCGATTCCTGTCACACACGTTGTGATAGTCGAGGCTGAGAATCTTTGTCGCTCCAGGACAGCTGTTGGCAGCTTTAGTGATCGCCGATCCAAACTCCTCAACGTGATTATCAACACGAACGGCAAAACCCGACCCTTAGACCCTACACTGTCATTCCCAAATCTTACACTGGCCCGCCTACAACCCGAAGCCCATGACGCTATAGCCATAAATACAGAAGCCCGAACACCCTAAACTCTACAACGAAAGCTGTTAAGGCCAAAAGCCCGAACGTCCAACACCTTTGTCTGAAGCCTATTCAAGACCCTGAACCCACAGACCAGAAGTTCACGAAAAGACAAACCTTGAGCAAACCCTAGGAGAGGGATTTTGAGCTTCCCACAAATCCAGAAGCCTCCCAAGCAAACCCTAAACCCTAAACAAAGCCTCAATGTTAAGGGTGTGTGTGGCATTAAGACCACTGAGGGGATCTGCCCAGGAGAGTCTTAGGGTTTATGGTTAGAGGGTTTAGGGTTTAGGGTAACCCTAAACACAAGCCCAGAAAGGATCTGCACAGGAGAGTCGCACCTCTAATGCTTCGCGGCAATCCTGACAAGGGCTGGTAGAGTGTAGGGTTTTAGGGCTTCGGGTTTTAGAGCTTTGGGGTTTGAGTGTTTTAGCATTTTGGGGTTAGGGATTTTAGAGTACGTTTAGGGCGCCGCGGATGGATGTGGAGGGCTGAGTACATGACTCGGCTGTCTAAGTCTCTGCAATGCTTGCCTTGCAGCTAAACCCAAACCCCAAACCTCATTCGTTCTGAGCACCCTCGTAAGCCAACGCTCCCTGTAACAGCATCTTGGCCTATACACCGCCTAAACCCCAAACCCCAAACCCTAAACTCTATACACCCCAAGCCCATAGAATGGAGGCCCCCCCCATAACCCGGATCCCTGGCGCCTTGAGCCCTAGAAAGGCAAGCCTCAAAACCCAAGAAGCAACGGAAATCCCGAAAAATCAAATTAAACCTGGCCCCAAAACCCTCAACAATCCAACCCGCAATAATCCTACACCCTAACCCCCCCAAAACTTAAACTCAAAATTATTTTACTTCGAATATCCCCGCCCTCTGGGTAGAGATACTCTGGGGTTGGGCACTCCAGGGACACTCTGGGGCTGGTCACCCCAGGGACGCTCTGAGGTTGCGCGCCCTGAGGTTGGGCGAGGAGTAGACCGGGAGACGAGAAGAGTTGAGTTTAAATTCTTTACAACCCCGCACCGAGGGTGGGCAACAAGAATCAAGCCCTCAACCCTCCTCTTCAGCAGCGCCCGCGCGAAGCGCTGCCGCGGCAGTGCGGAGTGAAATGCACCCGAGCCACCTGATCATGGGGAAGTCCTAAACCCTAAACCTCCAAGCCTGGCTGGTTCTTAGTAGGGAATCAGGGAATGAGGTACCCTACCTAATCCCTCAAATAGTATAGAATAGAGCCCTAATTCCCTCATTCCCTACTAAGAACAAGGCGGAACCCCTAAACCCTAAACCAAAAACCTCAAACCCGAAATCCCTGCCCTAAACCCGAGGGTCCCAAGCGCTGCGCCCTTAACGCCAAAGGTAGGGTTTAGGTTTTGGGTTCAGGTTTTAAGATATAATGATCAGAGTACAAAACGGGGCTGAGTGTTGAGGGTTATTGCAGTTTACCCTTCTGGGGGTAAGATCGGGTTTAGGGGTTACGGCGGTTGAGGCCCCGGCAACATCATCTCGCTCAAAACGCGGCTGAAAACCTCTCCGGGTATCAGGCCCCTGGCCGCAGGCACGAAAGACTGGGGGGGCAGGGGGGGGGGTGGAAGTCTTTTGCATTGGTATAAACACCCAGGTCCCAGAAATAAGGGCACTGGTGTACCTTAACTATTCTAGGGGACCCCCTCTCCCCCCCCCCCCACCCCAACATCGCTTCAAGGTATCTTCCTGAATCAAGGGGGGGCCTTATGCTCCCTGGGTCCAGCTTATTCCCAGCTTTGAAGTTTAGGGTTCAGGGCTGAAGGGTTGTGAGTAAAGTTGCTGAAGGCTATGGGGAGGTTGCCTCTTGTATTGGCTGAACTTCTCACTCAGTACCCTAGAGTGAGGAATGTAGTACCCGCTATTAAAATCTCGATTAAGGACTGATAGTATAAGGGGGAACATCCCGACTGTAATTGCCGTTCAAGGGGGGTTTGCAGTTTTGGAGGGTTCCTTAAGCAAACCCTAAACCCTAAACCCAAATTCCCTAGATGAGCCTTCAAGCGCGCTCAGGGTTTAGGGGGCAGTTGGAAGTGCTACAGGCTTTAGGGTTTAGGGTGTAGGGTTTAGGGTTTAGGCACCATAAGGGAACACTATTACTAATTTAGTAATTATTCCGACCCCTACATTACGCTAGCGGGCAGTATGAAATTGGCAAGCTTCTTGTGGCCCCCCAACCTTAAACCCTAAACCCTAAACCCTAAACCTACTGTTTTGGTGTAGGGTTTAGGGTGTAGGGTTTAGGGTTTAGGGCTTAGGGTTTGGGGTTTAGGGTTCAGGGTTACAGTAAATCTTCCCATCCGGCTCACATACGCCTCTCCATGCAGGGCTGAGGCTCTAGAGCTGAGGATCTAGAAGTAGAGCCATCAATTTAGCACTGTACCCTAACCTAGAACTGAAGTGTTGTTGAAGAATCCTTCCAAAGAATCTGTTTCCTTGGTAACCTAGATCACCCAAGTCATCAGGGCTTTAGTGCTTAGTGCTTAGAGTTTGGGATTTCAAGACACTCACTCTAGACCCTAAACCCCAAACCCTCGAAACCCTCGAAACCCTCGAAACCCTCGAAACCCTCGAAACCCTCGAAACCCTCGAAACCCTCGAAACCCTAAACCAAAAACTAAAGCAACAAGCAATCCGCGGCACCTGTAGCCATCCGGCCCACCCGCCACGCGGCGGAAGGCCCACTCCTCCTTGGATTTGGCGACCTCCTGGTGCAACGTCTGAGCATTTGAGACTAACGATTCAGCTTTAGGACTTTGGTGGTTTAGGGGGGCGGGGTTTAGGGTTTAGGGTTTAGGGTTTAGGGTTTAGGGTTTAGGGTTTAGGGTTTAGGGTTTAGGGTTTAGGGTTTAGGGTTTAGGGTTTAGGGTTTAGGGTTTAGGGTTTAGGGGGGCAGGGGAGTACCCGAATTTCTAAAACCACAGTAGGTTGCCCAGCAACCGAACTTAGAAACTGTTCTGTGGCTTACTTAGACGGGGTGATAAGGGTCCTAACCCCAAAGGAGGGAACATGGGCATCCCACAATGTCTAGTACCTTTCCTTGTTTACAGGTATAAATGGGCTAATCTAAGCCCTAAACGCTGAACCCACTAAACCAGGCCCTAAAACCCGACGACCTTCAACCCCAAAACCCGACGACCCTAAACCCCAAAAACACCAAGTTCCTAAGACCCTAAAAACCTAAGCTCCTATAAATCCTACAAACCCCAAGACCCTGAACCCTAAAACCCTAAAGCTCCAACCAACGCCCGCGCTCTGCATCTTCGCACCTCGCGGTCCCTCGCCGCACCGAAGGCGTCCTGCGCCAGGGCCTCGGCGCCTTGCGCCGTGAAGAGCGACAGCAGCCGGAGGGCTTCCGCCTGCTCAGGATCCCAATTTGGGGGGTTTTAGGGTTTTAGGGTTTTAGGGCTTCAGGGTTTGGGGTTTTTGGGGTTTCAGGGCTTCAGGGTTTGGGGTTTTAGGGTTTAGGGGGTTTAGGGTTCTAGGGCTCCAGGGCTTTGGGGTTTAGGGTTTGGGAGCTCTCAAGTTCACAGGGTTCAAGAGGGCTTCTTGGGTTCATAGGGTTCACTGGGTTTATAGGGTTCATAGGGTTCATGGGCTGCATAGGGTTCAGAGGGTTCATAGGGTTTACGGCGTTCATAGGGTTCATGGGGTTGACAGGGTTCATAGCGTTCTTGGGCTGCAGAGGGTTCATGGGGTTCATAGGGTTTGTAGGGTTCTTACGGTCCATAAGGTTCTTAGGGTTCATAGCGTCATAGGGTTTATAGAGTTCTGGGCTCCTCATCGGGAACCCGTATATACACCTTTTACACCCCATAAAGAACCACTGGCACATACTTCGGAACCCTTTGAAGAAGGACCATGTAACTACACCTAAAGATAAGGCAAGGGAAGAACTAGGGGCGGCCCGACGCTCAGGTTTGTGAGCTGAGGGTGTATGGTTTTTGGGTCCGGGCTTCGGGTTTAAGGCTTAGGGTTTAGGGTTTAGCAATAGGGGCATAGGGATTATAGGGGTTTAGTCCGAAAGACACGAGCCGGAACCTACCAGGTTACCAGCCTCACTGGCGCTCTCGCCACCCAGGCCCAGGACGTAACCTGAGTTTGGCTGCTAAACCCAACAATCTCCAGGGTTTGGGGGGCTTACAGTGTTGACAGGGCTTAAGGTTTGGGGTTTAGGCGGAAGGTTCAGCGTTTGAAGGACGCAGGGGGTCCGGTGGACGCAGGGGGTCCCGTCGCCCCAAGAAACCCGAAAGCTCAGAGCCCAAGTGCACTTTCATGCAGAGCGGGCCGACATGGTCTACGCATCCTATTAGGGTTTAGGGTTTAGGGTTTAGGGTTTAGGGTTTAGGGTGAAAAACAAGTGTGCAAGAGTTCTTGGGTTCTCAAGGGAAGGGGGTTCGAGGGGTGTATGTAACCCAAGGTTGCCTAATACTCCTAAGAACCCTACAAAAGAGCAGCGCCGCCGCAAGTCCCGGGAAACCCTGAAAACCAAGGTTCCCCCAAGCAACCCAATAGGCTACGAGTGAAAAGGGTACTCCTCTCACATGGAAAAGGTCTGTACTTGCGTTTAGGGTTGAAGGGTTCGGAGCCGCCGGGGGGGGGGGGGGGGGGGAGGGTTGTGGTTGCAAAAGCAAGACGTGAGTACAACCAGGATGGGCTATACCCTATACAACCCTTAAAGAGGCCCTTTCTATGGTTGAATATGGGGAGTATGAGTAGGAGGCCTAATCTGATTCTGTTTCCTATCCCCAGATTGCCCTGACCAGGAACTAATGTAGAATTTTTCTGCTGGTTCTGCAGCAAATAGTTCTCACTGTCACAGCCCATCTTGCAAAAGAGTACCACACCTCCCGGGCGCGCGACTGACGGACTCGCGTAGAGCCGCCTGATTCTGCATCCTTTCCTGGGCTCACAAGTCAGGGTTTAGGGTCTCGAGTTTAGAGTTTAGGGTGTAGGGTTGAGGTTTAGGGTTTAAAGGGGGCTTGGTGAAAAGTCTGGGCATAGCATTGCTAAGAGTTATAATGCCAATGGTCTTGATGATTTTGGGGGCTATATGAGGGTATTTGAGAGATGCAGCAAGGCCTCGGGGAACTTTCTTATTTTTTTCGAGAGCGCTTGCGTCCCTTGTCTAGAAGCCCAATCTTGGCTTAGATGTTGGCGGTCCAGAGATCCGCCCAGACCTCTGCATCAAACGCACAACCCGACATCGCGGGGGGGGGGGGGGGGGGGGGGGGGCTTGATCAAGTAGAACAGGGTTTTGGAGGTTCTTATAGTATACGCATGCAAAGAAATTATTCCGACCCCTATATTACGCACGTCTGTGCCGATCCAGGCGGCGTCTGACCTCAAGACTTCCCGGAGACTTGCATCGTCTGGAAGGCCTCGTGGCTCTGTGGAAGTTTCGTGGACTGTTGCTGAGAGGGTCTGCAGGAGGCACTTGAGGTGATAGCCGAGCCACGGTTTAGGGTTTAGGGTTTAGGGTTTAGGGTTTAGGGTTTAGGGTTTAGGGTTTAGGGTTTAGGGTTTAGGGCTTAGGGTTTAGGGTTGCCTAGGATGGCCCATTCAACCCTGACAAATATTCCTAAACATGACCCTCTTGAACTCATTCAGGGAAATTTGACATGTCCCCTAAGGCCCTACCGAGTTGCTGCCGTTACATGAGCTGTTCTCTTGCTTTTGGGCTCCTTTTGGGCTTGATGCTCACGGTGTCCCAGTCAAGATGCACACCTGCGTTTGAACATATATTCATAAGCAAGGTCTGAAGCAGCCACTTTGGTCTTTAAGACTCCCTCAGGAATAGGGTTTAGGGTTGAGGGTTTAACCCTAAACCCTAACTAAACACTAAACCCTAAACCCTAAACCGAAGCAACAGCAGCCGCTTCAAGGACTCGTGGCGCTTTTCTTTAGGTTGCAGGCGAGGTTCCGGACTCTCGGAGCTCATGCTTGAACGATTCATGCGTGCTTTGCAGTGGCTCCAAGAAGGCCTTGCACTTCGCTGGCACCGGTCCGATTGAGCGCATCTCACGCTTCCACAACAGGGTCTCGCAGATGAGGTGCATCAGGCCAAAGAATCCGGGCGTCAGCTTCGGGAGCATCTCCTCTATCGGCTTCCATTGCTTGTGGTTGACCTCCTGCGGATTGTCTGCGAACACCGAGACATGTTCGATGACCGCAGTGCGCTCACGAACGGCGAAGTCCGAGACAAGAGGCGGAGGCTGGTTCGCGGCAAACAGCGGCAGGTACTGCGGTTTGTACCGCACTAATTTTTCGTACAAATCACGTCCGCAAAGTTCGCTGTTGCCATCCGTGAAAGTTTTGTAGAGTTGCAAGCGAATGTTCTCCGCCC